CCCCCCCCCCCCCCCCGCCAAAACAAGCCCCACGAGCGCGGGCGGCCGTCTCCCGTCCTCGCACGCGTCTCTCGCCCACCATGAGCGCCATTGACGCTCTCTACATGTTTGACGAGCACAAGTAGCCCCGCCCTCTCTGCCCTCTCTGTCCGCCCGCCTCTCGTGCCCCGCGGCTAACTCGTCCTCCAGCACGCCTCTCCTGGAGCACGTCTACGTCAACCGCCCCCCGCCCTCGAGCATCCTCCTCCCGCTCTATCTCGCCCACGCCGACCCCCGCCCGCCGCTCCTCTACCTGCCCAACACAAACCCGCCGACGCTGCTGTACTCCATCATACAAGACCAGCTGCTGTTCCTCTGCCCTTCGTCTGCCGACACGGATCCTCTGGCCATCCTCTCCTTCCTGCACCGCCTCACCGACGTCCTCGAAGACTACCTGGGCTCCCCCCTGCTGGCCAGCAAGATCGAGGCAAACTACGATGTCGTCGCGCAGCTGCTCAGCGAGATGGTCGATGGCGGCATCATCGCAAACACGGAGCCAAATGCCCTGAGAGATGTCGTCGACGCGCCCAACCTGCTCAAGAGTCTCCTGGGAGGCGTCGGACTGCCGTCTACAACCCCGAGCTCACTGACGCCTTCGTCTACGAGCGCATTTGGCCTGGGTGCCGGAAGGGCGAGCCCGAGGTTAGGCCCATCGCCCGCTTCGACCCAGGCGGCGTCGCCCGTCCCGTGGAGAAGAGCAAATGTCAGGCATACGAGCAACGAAATGTACGTGGATATCGTCGAGACGCTCCAAGTTACCCTGTCGCCGTCGGGTCGACCCCTGGCTGCCATGGCGAACGGCACCATCGCATTCACTGCAAAGGTTTCTGGCGTCCCCGACCTCTTGCTGCAATTGGGATGCGCCGGTGGAATCCAAAACACAGTCTCTCTCCCCGTCTTCCACCCCTGCGTGAGGCTCAATCAGTGGAAGGCTCGGCCTGGAGAACTCTCGTTTGTACCTCCAGACGGCCGCTTCGTGCTAGCAGGCTACGAGGTCGACCTTCTGGGCCCCTCTGCCCTCGAGTCTTTCTCGACAGAAAAGTCGGCCAGGAATACAGCACCCAGACTCAACATCCCCGCCACCGTCTCGGTCCACCCGTCCCTCGGCCCAACTGGTTCAGACTTTGAGGTCAAACTCCTGCTCAACCCCCGTTTCACAGGCAAATCCTCGGCCTTTTCGCAGTCGAGCGCCGCAAAA